GAGTGAAGTGTAAATACTGGTGTGGAGTTTTTCAGCACAAGGCCTTTTGTCCCCTGTTTGTTCAAATAATTCTATGCATCTTCCACAAGCTGGGTGCTGTTACATTAGAAATGCACAAACCTGTCCTGTCATTTATACATTTGCATACTACACTCCATATATAAAAGGAAGTCTGAATTGAATGCTTGGGATAGAGAGAGAGCTTAGGCTGAAAGCAATGGAGTTCCTCTGTTGCAGTCACTTCCACAAAATGTCAGGCACTCATAAAGTGTTCACTCCATCACCTTCTGCATCAGAGAGAGAAAAGAGGAAATTAGGAAAGAAAATCAATGAATGTGGAGTTAAGGATGTACCAAGATGTGAATACCAAGAAATATAAATATGTGAAAAAGGCTATCTGGTCCATTCCATGTGGAGTTTGGTGATTATGGGTATGCAATACACAAATATCCAAAAAATACTAAAAGAAGCCAAACCAAACCCAAAAGTGTGAGGTCATGCACTTTGGTAAGAAGAATAAAAGCATGGACTATTTTCTAAATGGGGAAAAAAATTCAGAACTCTGAAGTGCAAAGAGACTTGAGAGTTCTAGTCCAGGATTCTCTCAAGGTAAACTTGCAGGTTGAGTCAGTAGTCAGGAAGGCAAATGCAATGTTGGCATTTATTTTGAGAGGATTGAATATAAATGCAGGGATGTACTACTGAGGCTTTATAAGGCTCTGGTCAGGCCACATTTGGAGTATTGTGTGCAGTTTTGGGCCCCATATCTCAGGAAGGATATACTGGCCCTGGAGCGGGTTCAGAGGAGGTTAATGAGAATGGTCCCAGGAATGGAAAGCTTAACATATGAGGAACGTTTGAGGACTCTGGGACTATACTCATTGGAGTTTAGAAGGATGAGGGGGATCTAATTGAAACTTACAGGATACTGAATGGCCTGGACAGAGTGGATGTTGGGAAGATGTAGGAGAGACTAGGACCCGAGGGCACAGCCTTAGAGTAAAAGAAAGACCTTTTAGAACGGAGATGAGGAGAAACTTCTTCAACCAGGGAGTGATGAATCTATGGAATTCACTGCCACAGAAGGCTGCGGAGGCCAGGTCATTGAGTACATTTAAGACTGAGATAGATAGGTTCTTGATTATCAAGGGGATCAAGGGTTATGGGGAGAAAGCAGGAGAATGGGGTTGAGGAACTTATCAGCCATGATTGAATGGTGGAGCAGAGTCAATGGGCTGAATGGCCTAATTTCTACTCCTATGTCTTATGGTCTTATGGTCTTATGGTCATTCCCCCCAACCACAAAACCACCAGGTCTCCTGGGATGGGTAGAGAAGGGCAGAACAAAGAAAACCATAGTCAGTTCACAGAAATCTTTGGGAAATTCTTTTCTGACTGCCTGGATTCCAAGTTGACTGTAGCTAGAATTTCAAAAACTGGAGAAGGCAGATGATTGTTATGCCAATGCAAATGGGTTTTTGTCAGTGTCTCACTTCGCTAGTATTATCACTTTGTTTAACCTTTCAATATCAGTTGGGCTCTATTATAACTGAAGAGTCCGATAAGAGAATGGCATGGACGTCCATGGAACTGGCATTTAATATTGTCCCTCTTGAGTGGGACTTCTGCAGCTATGCCAGTTCTAGTCTTCCTCTGGCAAGGCAGTACTGGACTAATGATCTAGAATGCCAGACTAATTCTCTAGGGCAAAAACAGAAGTTGCTGGAAAATCTCAGCAGGTCTGGCAGTATCTGTGAAGAGAAATCAGAGTTAACGTTTCGGGTCCGGTGACCCTTCCTCAGAACTGATGGAAGCTAGGAAATTGTCAGTATACATGCAGAAGATAGAGTGGAGGTAGGGGGTAAGGAGTAATTGATAGGTGGGGATAGAGCCCAAAGAGAGAGAAGAACAGTTGGACAGACAAAAGGAGCGGATAATGATCTGGCTAGGAGAATGAATAGCTGTTAATGTAGACTGCTAGTGGCTAACAATAGGTAGTGTGGGTAATGGCAGTCTATGTGATAACAAGACCTGGTGTGTGGGGTAGGGGACTAGGACAGGGGAGAGTTCAGGCCCTAAAATTATTGAACTTCATATTGAGTCCAGAGGGCTGCAGGGTCTCCAAGTGGAAAATGAGGTGTTGTTCTTCCAGCTTGTGCTGAGCTTTGCTGGAATACTGTAGCAAGACTGAGACGGAGATATTAACAAGGTGATGTGTTAAAGTGGCAGGCAACTGGAAGCTCAGGGTCTTATTTGCGGATAGAATGTGGATGTTCTGCAAAGTGGTCACCCAGACTATACTTCGTTTCCCTCAATGTAGAGGTGATCACTTTGTGACAAGCAAATGCAGCAGACAAGATTGTGTGAAATGCAGGTAAAGTGCTGCTTCACCTGGAAGATAAGTTTGGGCCCTTGGATACTGAGGAGGGAGGAGGTAAATGGGCAGGTGTTACACCTTCAGCGGTTGCAGGGGAATGTGCTATGGGGCTGTTGGTGTGTGTTGGGAGTGAAGGAAGAGTGGATGAGGGTGTCTTAGAGGGAACGGTCCCTACGGAAGGCAGACAAGAGACGGGTAGGGGATTATGTGTCTGGTGGTGGCATCTTGCTAGAGGTGGCAGAAATGGTGGCTGATGATCTTTTAGATGTGGATGCTGATGGGATGGTAAGTAAGGACAATGGGAACCCTTTCGCTGTTGCTGGAGAGAAGAGAAGGGGTGAGGGCAGAAGTGTGGGAGATCGATTGGACCCAGTTGAGGGCCCTGTTGACAATGGTGCTGGGGTACCCTTGGTTGAGGAAGAAGGTGGACACTTCCACCTTTGTCAAAGTTGACCTCATTGGACATATGTGACGGAGATGGAGGAACTGAGACAATAGAATGGAACCTTTGTGGGAAACTGGGTGCAAAGGTGTAGAGTCCAAGTAGCTGTGGGAGTCAGTAGATTTATAGTGGATATTAGTGGCCAGTCTATCTCCAGAAATGGAAACAGTGATGTTGAAGAAGGGAAGGAAGGAATCAGAGATAGACCAAGTGAAAGTGAGGGCGAGATGGAAATTGGAAGTGAAATCGATGAATTTTTCCAATTCTGGATGAGAGAGGGACATATTCGGGATGGCACGGTGGCTCAGTGGTTAGCACTGCTGCCACAGCACCAGGCACCTGGGTTCGGTTCTAGTCTCAGATGACTGTCTATGTGGAGTTTGCACATTCTCCCCATATCTGCGTGGGTTTGCTCTGGTTTCCTCCCACAGTCCAAAGATGTGCAGGTTAGGTGGATTGGCCATGCTAAATTGCCTGCAGTGTTCAGGGATGTATAGGTTAGGTGGGTCATAGGTGTATGGGTCTGGGTGGGATGCTCCAAGGGTCAGTGTGGACTTGTTCAGCCAAAGGGCCTGTTTCCACACTGTAGGGGTTCTATGATGATTCTATGATATCAGAGAAAGACTTGGGTGTGGGGGCTGGAATGGGACTGGAACAAGGAATGTTCATTGTACCCAATGAAGAGACAGGCATAACTGTGGCCCATGCGGGTACACATGGCCAACCCCCCTCTCTGAAGAAAACAAGAGGAGTTAAAAAAGAAGTAGTTGAGGGTGAGGACGAAGTTGGCCAAGCGGAGGAGGGTGGTGGTAGGTGGGGACGGTTCAGGCCTTTGTTCCAGGAAGAAGCAGAGAGCCCTGAGACCATCCTGGTGAGGGATGGATGTGTAAAAGGATTGCATGTCCATAGTAAAGAGGAGGCAAAGCGGAAATTCTGAAATTGGCATAAATTTCAAGAGGAATCAGGGATGTACATGGGCAGGGACTGGACCAGGGGAGGGAAGACTGAGTCAAGCTAGGAAGAGATGAATTCTGTGGGGCAGGAGCAGGCTGACACAATGGGTCTACCTGGAAATTCCTGTTTGTGGATTTTCAGAAGGAGGTAGAAGCGAACTATGTGGGGCTAGAGAACTATCAGCTTGGAGGCAGTGGTGGGGGGAGATCACCAGATGAAATGAGGTCAGTGACCGTAGTTGATCAATAGCCTAATGTTTCATGGTGGAGTCATGGTCTAGGGGAAGATAGGAGGAGATATCTGAGAGCTGGCGCTCAGCCTCTGCAATGTAGAGGTCAGTACGCCAGACTACAACAGCACCACCCTTATCGGCAGGCTTAATAATAAAGTCAGGGTTGGATATAAGTGCAGTCAGTTTGGAAGGAGATAGGTTGGATTGGGTGAGGGGGGACAGAGAAGTTGAAGTGACCAATGTCATGTCAACAGTTCTCCATGAACAGATCGAATGCAGGTAAAAGGCCAGAGGGAGGGATCCAGGTGGAGGGAGAGTGTTGGAACTGGGTGAAGGGGTCTGTGGGACGGGGAGAGGACTGTTGTCCAAAGAAATGGTCACAGAGGCAAAGACGGCGGAAGAAGAGTTAGACATCATGTTGTACCAGAAATTCATTAAGTTGAGGACGCAGATGGATAAAGCTGAGACCTTTGCTGAGTACAGAACGTTCAACATCAGACAGCAGAAGGTTTGGAGGGATGGTGAAGATCTGACAGGAGGTGGGGTTGGGGGAAAGGATGTAGTCAGAGGGAAGGGGAGGGAACTTGGATTTGAATCCGACCATGGCAGATGGTGAAATTTGAATTCAATAAAAATAATCTGGAACCAAAAGCAAGACCAATGGTGATTATGTAACCATTACTAATTGTCCTAAAAAATCCACAGGTTCACCAGCCTCCTTCAGGGAAGGCAATCTGCTATCTTTATGTAGTCTGACCTACATGTGATTCTAAACCTACAGCAATGTTATTGACTCTTAACTGCCTTTAGGGTAAGTAGGGATGGGCAATAAATGCTGGCCTTGCCAGGGATGCCTACATCATTTGGACAACAAAAAATGTCCTGAGTTTGGTGTAAATGGTCTTCAAAACATGTTAAATCAAATTGCAGGTTTACAGGTTTAGCTGCAGTTCTTTCCCCGAGAGAGGTGGTTTGCAATAAATATATTCATGATGTTTTTTGTTTGTGAAGTGTCTTTAATCATTTGTACAGACCATTTTGATGATGTTCTCCCCTTGACAGTTCCCCACTGAAGATGTGTTTGGGGATTTGAAAGTCATCCATGTGGGAGTTATGCCTAAATTGAATTTTCTTGGGAATGATTTCCATTCTGTTGAGCACAGCACAATGAAGGACTTTGTTGTTTGTGATCTTGTCCTGCCATCTGCATAGAATAAATCAACAGAGATAAATATTAGATTAGTCTCTACCATTTATGTTTATTTTGAATGAGTTCACATTGTCTTCCGTTGGGTTCATCGTAACAAAAGCTTTGTATCATGCAAAAGAACTTTGAATGAGCTTGGAAATTAAATTTCCCACAAAGTGCAGAAGATGTTTACCCATAGACATTATTGTAGTCAGTCTTAATTTGATATTATTGGTAATTACATTTTTCATACTGTAATTGTAAAATTGAACCTGGCATTCGGAAGATAAATTTCAATTGAATGCATGGTAAAGACTAAGAAATTAAAGTTCAGAATCTGCCATGCCTGTGGTCTGGCTGCTTCTCTGAGGCAACATAGTGTACATGACAGATCTGATAAGCTTATTGTCACTATATCATTTTCGAAGATCTAGAGAGAGTAGAGACGTTCAGGGAGGTGGAATGGACCTGGCAGCAGTGTAGCAAGTGAACTCAGAAGTGATGTCTCTAAAATACTCAAAGGAAGGATCAGAGAACAGACTTGTTTAAACAGAAAATAAAATGATCGAAAAATAGGAATAAAAAATAAATTAGTTTGACCAATCTTTTGCCAACTTGTATGTTTATTCCACCAACATACTTCCTCACTTTTCCCTCGATTGTCTCGAAGTGCCTATGTCTTGAATAATGTTTCCTTGAATGATCTTCTATCAGTCATTTATTCTACAAGTTTCTTACGTTTTTGTTCAAAATACCCCACTGGATTTCCCTCCCTATTCATAATTTGTTAGTCGCACCTATAAATTCTCACTGACCCTAACCCACCACTCCCAACAGAAACTGAATGGGTGTGCAACTGAGACAAGGAGAGTGATACCAGGTTGTAATCCAGCACCAGGACTACCAGGTCAGAACAGGAATCTTAAATAAAAAGAACTGTGGATGCTGTAAATCAGGAACAAAAACAAAGTTGCTGGAAAGCTCGGCAGGTCTGGTAGCATCTGTGAAGGAAAAAAGAGTTAACGTTTCGGGTCCCGTGACCCTTCCTCAGACCTGAGGAAGCAGTTCTGAGGAAGGGTCACCGGACCCGAAACATTAACTCTGTTTTTTCTTTCACAGATGCTGCCAGACCTGCTGAGCTTTTCCAGCAACTTTGTTTTTGTTCCAGAATAGGAATCTTGTCTTTTGAGCAGGTGAGCAGGAGAGCAGGAAAGCAGCAGGATACTGATCTCACTAGAGTCTGACTGGAGTTTTAGCCTGATGCCTCAGCAATATCCAGTCTTGATGAAAGGTGGTTTCTGGTTACTCCCAAAACTACTGACAAGGCACAAGTCAGGAGTGTGATGGAATACTCCCCACTTGCCTAGATAGGTGCAGCTCCAACAACATTCAAGAATCTTTACACTATCCAGGACAAAGCAGCACACTCGATGACGTCACATCCACAAACATCCACTCCCTCCACCACAATGCACAGAAGCAGCAGTGTGTACCATCTACAAGATGCACTGCAGAAATTCACCAAGATTCCTTAGACAGCACCTTCCCCAAACACATGATCACTTCCAGCTAGAAGGACAAGTTGCAGACACATGGGAGCAAAAGTTCCTGTAAATTCCATTCAAACCACTCACTGTCCTGAGTTGGAAATATATCGCCCTTCCTTCAGTGTTACTGCGTCAAAATTTTAGAATTCCCTATCTAGCAACATTGTGGGTCAACTTACAGCGCATGGACTGTAGTGATTTAAGACAATAGCTCACCACCATCTTCTCAGGGGAAACCAGAGACAGGCAATAAATGTCAGCCCAGCCAGCGATGCCCCATCATGAGTAAATTTTTAATAAAACACAACAGAATGGACAGCTGGTGTAACTTAAAATATTTTTTGCACCATTGCTCAATGCCAAAATGACTCTAAATGCTATTTTAATGATACACATCAGATTTTACTTTGATAATTTATCTAAATATTGGTGTGCATATTGTTCTTCAGGGTCAAGCAAACTTATGGCAAAACAGTTTTGTTAAATTAAGTGGAATGCTGGAGGCTTTGTTCTCATTTGTATGTAAATTCATAGATTGAAATTCACAGGAGTGGTCACGTTCACAGTTTCTGTCTGAGAATCTGTTCAGTGATGCAGGTTAATTTGGAACATTGAAGCAAAATAAAGGAATTTTCTATGTAGTTTTTGTTAAGTGGAAGCTAAATCACACTTTGATGGGGCTAATATTTTGAAATATTATTTTTTTCAATTTCAATTTCTTTCACACAATGTGCATTTTGTTTGTCTGACACATTCAAGACAATGTTTCCTTCTGTGCATTGCATCAAGTAAAATAATCATTTTCCTGTCCATGTTTGTAATCAGTTATAATTTTGATTAAAATTGTTGCCATGGTCAAAGTTGAGGAATCTAAACCTGTTTGGAAAATGGTTGCCAACAATAGTTTAATATATCTGTGGACATTTCACCACATGGTCTGCATTCCAATGCCACACCTCCATGATTAGTTGACCGATCTTTATGTTGAGAATAACTTCCATCATGTTGTGTGGCCTGATCACTGTGCTAAATGGAATAGATTTCAAACAGATCAAGCAACTCAAGACTGGGCAATCATGAGATGCTGTGTGCCATCAGAATCTATAGCCTCATGGCCCAGCAAATCCCCCACTTGACCATTACCATCAAGCCAGGGGATTGACTCTGGTTCATTGGAGATTGCACCAGGCATATCTAAAGATGAGATTTTAATCTGGTGAAGCTACAACACAGGATGATTTGTGTGCCAAACAGCATTAGGAGTCAATGATAGGTAGAGTTAAGCAATTCTGTAGCCAGCAGTAGGATGTAAGATATAGATTTCTTGCTCATCTGATAGTACATGATGATGGATAACTAAACAACTCATTGGAGGAGGAAGTTCAACAACTATCCCTATCTTCAATGATGAGAGAGCACAGGTCATCACTCCCCCCAATACTGACGCTCAATAGCAGCAAAGTGTACAATCTACAAGATGTATTATAGAAATTCACCAAAGCTCGTTTGACAGTACTTTCCAAATCCATGACCACTTCCATCTAGAGGGACAAGGGCAGTAAATGCATGGAATAGCTAGTACTTGCAAGTTCCTCTCCAAGCCACAAGATTTCAGTGTCGATCCTGGAACTACCTCTCTAGCAGCATTTTGGATGTACCTACTCCAAATGGGCTTCTGTGGCTCAAACACACTAGCTGCTTCTGAAGGACAATAAATGTTGGCTCATCTAGAGACACCCACATTCCATGAATGGATTAAAAATAAGTCCAGTCTCACAGAGAACTACCTACCCACCCCAAATGAGAAGTGAGTGTTCACTTCACGGATGATTCTTAACATCACTTCAAAACTCTTTTTAACATTCATTCTTTTCAGTTTTTTAAATGATTAATAAGTTTATGTGTGTAAAGGTATTTTTGTCTAAAAAAAAGCACACAATAACGTCCTGATGATTTTTCTCCAGCGTAGTAACCACAGTGACCTGGAGATCAGCCTTCAATTCCTGGAAACTTCAGAGTCAGAAATCACACGACACCAGGTTATTCCAACAGGTTTATTTGAAATCACAAGCTTTCGGAGCACTGCTCCTTCATCAGCTGAAGTGACAAAGCAGCAGTGATCCAAAAGCTTGTGATTTCAAATAAACCTGTTGGACTATAACCTGGTGTCATGTAACTTCTGACTTTGTCCACCCCAGTCCAACACCAGCAACTCCATACCATGGGGAGGCAATAGCCTAGTGGTACTATCGCTGGACTGTTAGTCCAGAGACCCAGGTAATATTCTGGGGATGTAGGTTCAAATCCTGCCATGGTAGATGGTGGAATTTAAATTTGATAAATATTTGGAATTAAGGGTCTAATGATGACCATGATTCATTGTTGATTGTTGGAAAAAACCCATCTGGTTCACAATATCCTTTAGGGAAGGAGAATACTATCCTTACCTGGTCTGGCTGACATATGACTCCAGACCCACAGCAATGTGGTTGACTCTTAACTGCTCTCTGGGCAGTTGGGGATAGGCCATAAATTCTGCCTAGCCTGTGATACCCTCATCCCATGAATGAATAAAAAAAGCCTTCAGGACAATCCTGAGTGTTCAGAACCCCATAGCAATGACTGATCTGTACTGTTGGGGCTATAGATCACTTCTTGGCCAAAGCTCACATGTGGAGTTGTATTTGTTGCTTTTCGTAGGCTGTGCAATATTTTGTGTCACCAAGAAGCTGTCAACACATTTAGTTTCTTTGCAAACGCTAAGAAGATTGAAAGCAATGTTTTAATTATTGGCTATTTGAGAAGTTTTAAACATCTTTTTTCACTGGTTGTGGTTATGATATATCCAGTGCAAAACCAAACCGGGCTTGAGATCATCTACTCCAAGCCATATTGTACCGTTTGTGTTGATGTGAAACCAAAATCAACTAATATGTAGCTTCATCAGGCATAAAATTTCCATGGTATTCCTACCGTGGAGGCACTAATTTACTTACAATTATTCCAGTATCCCATTTAAGATTAGAATCCCTACAGTGTGAAAGCAGGCCATTCAGCCCATACTGCCCTCCAAAAGCAGCCCACCCAAACCGACCCCCTACCAATAACCCTGCATTTCCCATGGTTATTCCACCAGGACACTATTGGCAAATTAGCATGGCCATCTTTGGACTGTGGGAGGAAACCAGAGCACCTGGAGGAAACTCACATAGAAACAGGGAGAATGTGCAAACTCCACAAAGCTTGAGGCTGGAATCAAAAACGGGTCCCTGGCTCTGCAAAGCAGCAGTTCTAACCACTGAGCCACTGTGCCACCCTGAACCAAAACACATGTTTTAAATTTAAGAAATAAATAAATTACATTCAGCTGCATCATATCTCCACTCTCAGCAAAGTGCTTTGTATCCAAAGAATCCCTTTTGCACTTGCTAGCCTTCATCAGTTCTCTTTCTGGCAACATCATCTTGAATTTAAAATTCCCATCATTGTGTTCAAATCCATCTCCACCTCTCCTGCAAATCCATGTTTAAATCTTTCCACAGAGGTTTTTAACCCTGCCGCAGCACCAAAATAGCCCTAACCAAAATCACAAATGACATGCCCTATGATCATGAGTATGACCATGGTAAATAAACACCCTTCAATCTTTTTCACAGCTTTTGAAACAGTCAACGATACCAACCTTTTAGTGTTCAGCTCCTTGGGGCTAACCTTACTTGGTTTCGCTCATCTCCAGTCAGTCGTATATAGTGTAGTAGCTTCTTTTGCAGAGCTCTTGCTGTATGCTTTGCGACTTCCACGTGAACATTAATTCCATTGGACTAAATTAGAAATTACGGAAACAAAAACTGATTGTGACTGTATTATTTCAAGCAGAATGTTAATTTCACAAGAATCATGTAATCATAAATGTGGCTTCTCAGACACTGTCCAACTAACATGTCACATTCAAAGGCAGTTGAATGTCTTTTGGAGCAGAGAGGAGAATAAGATGCAACAAAATATTATCATCAAAATTTTAAAATGATATTTTGTGTTGGTCAAGCAGATGCTATGTAACAGCAACAACTTTGCAATATTAATTGGATGATGCAGAAGTAACTTGTTTTTATTTTGAAAGAAAATCTGACCAGGTAAAATGGTCTTGAAGAGGAAGTTTAACATTCGTGCAGATGGGCAAGTTAAGTAGCTAACTATTGCATGTGTGTTCCTGCCCTCTGTCCGACCTGAAATTAAAAGCAGGGAGGTTTCATGAGGATTTGGAAGCACGTAACTGATGTGACTAACTGATGCTGTCACATGTTAAACAGGAATATATTTTGCAGCGTGTCTGTGTACATTAAAAACATTTCACAGTCAGTTCTGCTAATAACATGTGTTCCATCAATGCAAATTGGCTGCAACACGATTGACAAATAGGGGAACACTATTTCTAAAACGCGAACTTGTGTTGGCTATAATGCGAATCCATCAGCGCACAGGGGAGTATGCATCGACATCACATGATTGTTTCACAGGCTGTGTTGTGAATATGTACAATGTTAGCACCAAAAGAGTCTCCATGCCGGCATCACATGATTATTTCACAGGCTTTGTCGTGAAGTGCTTTCTGTGAGAGGTACCCAGTACAACATCCTCCCTCATCAAGTCACCTTGACAATTTTTCAAAATAAAGTGTTAAATTTACTTTTATTTCATTATAGATATGAATTAAACATTTATTCAAATTGTGCTATCCTTTGTGTGATTTTTGAGCAATTTTGAGTGATTATTTTTGGTGGTCTGCCCCTAACCCCACTTTTCCCATATGCCCCGTTATTTCTATAGCACGATTTTCTATAACGCAATGTTGCGCAGGAACACAATTATCGCGTTATAGCAGAACCGACAGTATGTGTCACCTCCTGCCAAGCAGTGTGCATCTTTCTTAACAGGGGAGGGTATCCTTCAGAGTCAAAGAAAGAAAATCATTGCTGCATTTTGTCCAAAAGTGCCAGCAACTTTTCATCAGTTGATAGAATTGATTTTCTCTTTTCTGTCGCCATTCCATCCCTGCAGCAAAAGCAAATCTGCCCTTTTAAAAATCATCTTTAAGATGTGCTTTCAGCCATTCTTTCCCTTCCCTGAAGATAACAAACTCCCAGCCTAGTTGAGACAGGGAATTCATCTGTGTCAAACGTTGGGAAATACTATCTGTTGTTTAAATGTTTTTTTTCCATCTTCAATCCAGGTCTGATTTCAATGGATATTTTCCTCTATTCATTAGTAATTGTGAAAATGTTGTTATGCATATAAAACACCATGACGTCTTTATACACACGACATATGTGGAGGAAGATATACTTCATTATTCCTTCTGTTCCCAATCTTCTGGCGATATGACTTTTTTGAACTTGTTGCTAGGCAATTCAGAAGAATGGTATTGATTGACTCTGTTACTGATGCTTTATTTCCTTCACCGCACCCCCCCACCACCCCTGTAGAAAACCCATTACCAGCACTCAGCAAATTGATAAATCAGGAAAAGCAAACAGTATGTTCTATCACACCATAGGTAAATGCATTAGTGTCAACCATGCATCTATAAGTCCCCATTTATAGTCAACTTCATCATCATGTTCATTATTTTGCTTTGTGAAATGATGCACTCTTCTTTCTTCTATGACTCATACAGGATTGCATTGATTGCTGTTGTCTTGAATTTCAATAAATGACATTTGTCCAGTTTGGGCTTTGGGCCAAGCCCTGTTTTTGTTCAATCCATTGCTTGTCTGGCACATGTGGAAGTGCATCATTCTGTTTAAAAGTTTCCAAATCAAGCCACTGAATGACCTTATTGGATGATTTTTGTTTGCTTGATATGGTGTTCACCATTCCGTAGGGACACACCCAACTTATCTAAAGTGATCCCTTGCCTGGAATGCAAAGCCACTGCTGTTTTTAACTACAGCTGTTCCCAGAGAAACATCCTCCTGCTTGCTCAGCTCAAACAACCACCTTACCTGATGTAGCCTTGCCTTGTGGGGTTACTGGCAGGACGAAACCTACTCCCAATAGACAACACCACCCTTCCAGGTTCCACTAATGAGCCAGTTGCCTGGTCAATGGTTATCGATGAAGTACAATGTACTTCAGTTATAAGAATCTGTCAGGATTGGTTCAGAAGAGTCATATCAAACTTGAAACATTAACTGTGTTTTTCTCTCATTGATGCTGCCATAACTGATGAGCATTTTTTGCGTTTGTTAAAGATTAAGTAGAGTTTATATGCAACAAATACTAAGAAAACAATTATTACTAGTCAACATTGGGCTTGGGCAATTGCTGCTCATATTCCTCCTGAATAATAAAATGTTAATTCTCCTTGGAACAAAATGTATATGTTTTTCCAAGTGTACATTCTAATTGCAAAATGTTTACTAACATTACATTATCCCATTTAATGATCATGAAAAGGCAAAACAAAGATGGGCTCTTCATTGTTACTGTTTTCAATGGCACCTTTCAATGTTTATTTTTAATAATGTCGTTTGGTGTACAAACCTCAGGTAACTCCAGAGTGAGACAGGCACAAGGTTCAGAAATATCTGATGTTAAGAAGGTGAAAGTATATTTTCAATAATTGTACCACAAACTTTATTGCCTGGAATTCTAAAGCTGCTACACAGAACATGTGAGTGGGGATTTGAATTTGTTTCATTCTCTCTATAAATATAACGTTTTGTTTTATTTAATTCATTCCTAATGCTTGTTGCTGGTTATATTGTCAAATGTATAAATACTTTGACAGGTCTTGGAAGAACATTCTAATTAGGTATCTTAAATGAGATTCCTAGGAACCAATGAATCTGCAATCTTGTCTACACCAGATAGTATAATTCCTCATGAAAGAGCCATCACAATTTTGCTGACCAGCAGTAGTCCACAAGTAAACAATGTTAGAGCCAAATATTTTCTAATAAACTTGTTCAGAGATGTTATTACACACCTCAGGAACTGGTGGGACTTGAATCCAGGCTGTCTGGCTCAGAGGTAGGGACACTACCGCTACACCACAAAGCTCTTAATAATGTCAGAGCTAGCATGCCAAACTGACATGTTTCAAATGGTTTGGATTAATTTTGAATTAATTTGATTACCCCACATTAGATACTGAGTAAACAAATTATTGAGTAACATCTAGCTAAGAGGTTGGTTGACAAGATAAATGACAAGTTGCAAAGGCAGTTCAATGTATCAGTTAAGCAAATCCAAACGACTGCTTATTTACTTACAGTGGTGTTGCATGCTCAAGGCTACTGCAAGTAAGTAAGATTTTTTTTGGAGTAACTCTATTGATATTTGACATGTTAACATGAATCACTAACCAAAGTACAATATTTTTGCTGATGGTTAGCAATGCCTCCTGAATATCCACAATCTTGTCCTTTGAGCAACATGCCGAAGTTAAACTTTTATCCTTGGGATGGCAGTGTTGATTTCTGTGATATTGAGGTGAACATTCAATAACGTCCAACTCTAATCACACAAGACAGACAGTATCTACTAATGATACACAGCTCAACTTATTAACCAGTTTAACTCTTATCTTCCTTAAATTCAGGCCACTTACGCAGTTAAACACTTATACCATCTGCTTCTATGCTGATAAAACTATACAATTTGACTTAATGTGTTCTTGCTCGCTGTCCAGGCTTTACTTTCTAGTTGTAAAGGAATCCTTCTATGTTTGCTTCTATGTTTACAGAAGACATGATGCGGAGAATCTTCTTTAACATAGAGGTACTATGTCTAACCAATACTATAAGGAGTTAAGAAAACAAAACAAAGATGAAGATAGAATATTCCAAGTAGAGGTGCCCCAAAACACTCCTTAATATGTCCTAAGCTCCAAGAAAACCCTAATATCAAAACATCAATCAGTATGATGATGTGTGTGTCCAAGGAATTCACCTCTTACCATTTCAATCACCTATGACAGATACATACAAGTTCAGAAATACATGAAATAGGAGTAGGAGTAGGCCATATGGCCCCTCAAACCTGCTCTGCTATTCAATAAATTCATGACCGATTTTATTGTGGCCTCAACTCCACTTTCCCGCCTACCCCCAAAAATCTTTGACTCCATTGTTAATCAAGAATCTATCTATTGCTGCTTTAAAAATATTAAATGACCCTGCTCCCCCACTGGTCTCTTAAGAAGAGAGTTCCAAAGAAACACTAACCCTCTGAGAGACACAATTTCTCCTCAATTCTGTCTCAAATGGGAAACCCTTTATTTTTAAACTGTGCTTCCCCAAGTCTTGGTCTCTCCCTCAAGAGGAAACATCCTTTCAGCATCCATGATAATGTTTCAGTAAATGATACATGGCCACCCAAGCATGTAAAGTTTCACTTATTACCCTCAATACTTTTTAGCTTAAGGCCTCCACAAAGGATGAATAAGGCATGATATCTCTATGTCTCAGTGTCAGTTTTGTTTTGCCCTGCTATGAAATACAGAGTTCAGATACATATGTTCAGAGTTTTGACTAGTTTCAATCTCTCAGTCATTTCCCAACTTTCAATTTTTTTCCCAATGACTTCAAATTTTGCATGATTAATTTTAGTGAAACTCCATTTTGAGAAAACCCTTCAAAACAATTGAGAGGGTATTTTCCTGAACTTCACACCTAAATATACCGTTTTACTGCTATACTGACAAATTCCATTAAATGCACATTGTTGTTAAAGAACCGCAGTTACACATATTTACTTCTTATAATCTTAAAAGTGCTTATGGGATGTGGCATCACTGGCTAGACTGGCATTTATTATCAATCCCTAATTACCCAGGAGGCAGTTAAAAACGAGTCAACCATATTGCTGTGGGTCTGGTGTCACTTGTAGAAGTTTTCTGGGTCACCAGCATGGTATTTTTCCCTCAATTTTCTTGAAGCCTACCTTCTAATTTATCTAAATTGGCACCATTTAGAAATAGTGCTAGTCACTGCAGCTAATTAAGTTGTGGCCAGAGCCCATTGCTGCCATCCCATTCTCTGTGGGTTCTTTCAGGCCCAAAATCATGAAGTATGGATTTCTGGTCTAACTAGAAGAGTCTTAATGGTAAACAACATGACGATTATTGAATGATTTACAGATTACATGAACATTACCTACATTACTACAGAGAATGTTAGGAGCCACATTAGCCCTGCACCTGTTATTCTTTTTTTAATCTCTAAACAAGTCAAATGTTCCATTATCACAGTGGGTGATGTTTAGTGCACAAGTATTAACCCTTTCAGACCTTTATACAACAGCCAGCTAGTGAACTATTATAGAGTTCGTACAGACCTTTCAGTCCAACTAGTTCATGCCAATCATAATCCCAAAATAAACCAGTCCCACCTGCCTACGCTTGGCCCATATCCCCCCAAACATTTCTTATTCGTGTACTTTTTCTTGATGTGAAATATAGGAAACATGACAACCAATTTTGTGCAGAGCTTGCTTCCAAAAACATCAATGTGATAATCACCAGAGATAGTAGGAACTGTAGATGCTGGAGAATCCGAGACAACAAGGTGCAGGGCTGGATGAACACAGCAGGCCAAGCAGTATCATAGGAGCAGAAAGGCTGACGTTTCGGGCCTAGACCCTTGATCAGAAAAGGGTGATAATCACCAGGTTTTTTTTAAAGAAGCAACATTGATTAAGGGGCAAATTATTAGCCAAAGTACCACAATTCCCCTGATCTTCCATCTACTGCAATGGTATATTTTACACTCACTGCAGAGGGGAGATGGGGGCCACTGTTTAACATTTCACCTCAAAGATGACACCTCTTTCCAGTACTGTTCAGAAGTGTCAGTCTGCTCTGGTTAATCTTTTCATTTATTATTTTCAGACCCATATACAACACACAAGAGGCTTTACAGCAAATGAACTACTTGTTGAAGTGTAATACAGGATAGGTAACTATTCTGTGGGTGAAGAAATTTCTCACATTTCAGTCCTAAAAGGTTTAGCCCTTAAAAATATGACCCCTGGTTCTGGATTCTGCTACCATCAGGAACATCTTTCCTACATCTAATCTGTCTACTCCTGTTAGGATTTCATTGGTTTCTATGAGATCCCCCTTCTTTCTGCTAAACTTCAGTGAATAGAATCCTAACTGACTCAATGTCTCGTCATATGTCAGTCTTGCCATCCCAGGAATTAATTTGGTAAACCTTTGCTGCACTCACTCTATAGCAAGTACATGCCTCCTCAGAAAAGGAGACCAAAACTGCACACAATATTCCAGGTGTGGCCTCACCAATACCCTGTATAATTACAGCAAAATATCCTTGTTCCTGTATTCGAAGGCCAATATACAGTTTGCTGCCTTTACTGCCTGTTGCAGCTGCATACTTACTTTCAGCAATTGATGCTGAAGGATACCCAGGTCATGTTGAATGTATCCCCTTCTCAACTAACAATAATATTTGAATAATATCTGTCTTCCTATCTTTGCTACCAAGTAGATAACCTCATATTTATCCACAAAGTACTGCATCTGCCATGCATTTGCTCACTCACTCAGCCTGTCCAAATCATACTGCAACATCCCTGTGGCCTCCTCACAGCTCACCCTATCACCCATCTTTGTGTCATCTGTGAATTTTCAGATATTACATTTGGTTCCCCCATCTAAATTAGGGGTGGCACGGTGGCTCAGTGGTTAGCACTGCCGCCTCACAAGAGGGGTTTAGGTTTGATTCCAGCCTTGGACGACTGTGTGTGTGTGTGAAGTTTGCACATTCTCCCTGTGTCTGCATGGGTTACCTCCAGGTGCTCCAGTTTCCTTCTGCAGTCCAAATATGTGGAGGTTAGGTGGATTGGCCATGCTGAATTGCCCATAATAGGTTTCCCATGGGAATTACAGGGATGTGGTGGGGGTGTGTCCGTGTGGGATGCTCTTTGGAGGGTCAGTGTGGACTTGATTGGCCGAATGGCCTGCTTGCACACTGTAGGGATTCTATGATTAATCATTTAACATACATTGTGACCCCACTAGTCACTGTCTGCCATTAAGAAAAAGATCCATGTGTTCTGAGGAAGGGTCTCTTGACCCGAAACATTAACTCTGATTTCTCTCCACTGATGCTGCCTGACCTGTTGAGCTTTTTCCGGCATTTTCTATTACTTCTACTCTGTTTCCCATCCGCTAACTAATTTTCTAACCCATCTCAACACACTACCTTTACTTTCACAGATTGATCAAGAGCGTGTTGCCTCAAGCCTCAAAAGGGGGGTGACAGTGAAAAATTACAGTCACTTGCAGAGTGCAAGTTTCACCCTGTTTACTTTTTGGAGTGCATAACTGTAAGGCTGAAAAAAAGGCACAACAGGTTAGAACAGCAGAAAAGTCATCATTTCAGACCTAACCCTCGACAGTGCAGCACTCCCACTCTGCAGGACCTAACTGTCAGTCTGTATAGGAACGGGAGGGGGATTTGAACCCGGGACCCTAGGTTTTCCAGGAAACCTGCGTTACTCTCTGAGCCACAGATAACACAAAGGTCAGACACTGCGCAAAGCGGGCTTTTTATCAGGGAGTTGGTGGCGGTTTTTTTTGCTGCTGACGGGTGGATGGGGAGGCTCCTCCTGTCATTCGGCCGCTGCCTTCTCTGGTGAAGGAGCAGCATCTCGGCCCCCGCCCCCCGGCCTCCGTTTTACACCACATCCCCCCCCCCCCCCCCACTCACTCCGGGGAAGGGGAGGATGTCTGAGCCGCTGCCTCCCGGGGCCGGAGGAGGGGACGAGTCGGAGGCCGAGCTGTCCCAGAGCCTGGCCCGGACCAAGACGCGCTCGTATGGCAGCACGGCGAGTGTGGCGGCCCCGCTGGCCGAGAAATACATCCAGCACCCGGTCACCCCGAGCGACACCCTCCGAGGCCTTGCCCTGCGCTACGGAGTCACGGTGAGTCCGGGGAAGGAGCGATCAGACTGAGTCCTAGGGTGGGGGCAGCTAGGGCAAGGCCACCC